GGAGGTCTGGTTTGCTTCTAATTTCTCGGGCACTCCCTCGCGTAATGCTGGGCACTCCCACATATGTGGCAGGTATTGTTGAGACAATAGCAGGGTCAGTCCACACGATCTTTGCCACAGTTTTGGAAAGTCTTGCTGTGTCCTGTTGTTAGAATTTGAGAAGGAGCCTGAGTCATTGGCCTAGGTCTCTTGTTATGCTGAATATGTGTAGTAGGTGCTGGTATACGGTGTGAAATCGGGGGCCTGAGATTCCCTACTGCTGGAGAGAAAATGCAAAAGTTCCTCTCCACTAACTGTGTCTTAGCCAGAACAGTCGAGTAAGTACTGAGCTCGAATACATATAACTGTTGTCTGATATTAGGACGGAGGCCCCACTCGAACTTTCTTACCTTTCTACCTTCATCCATCATGCTCTCAGAGGAATACTGGCCCAACTCTAAGAACTTTTGGGCATATTCTAATACAGTCATGCCACCTTGGATCAGGTGTGCAACTTCATTTCTTTCAGATATTAGAGATGTTCTGAGAGGTACTCTGCATTAAAGGTCATCAAGAATTGTTCCCAAATGATTGGAACGGGCAAGATGGCCTGCTTGAGGTGCCACCAGTGGCCTGCTTCTCCCACCGGTATGTTGGTGGCAAGTATGACCCTCTGTTCGAGAATCACTCCAAGGGTCGTGAAGGCATTCTCTGTCTCAACTAAATAGTACTCAGCTTCTTCAAAGGAAGATCTTCCTATAAAAGTAGATGAGTTTAGTCTTTTATACCTCTCAATATAGCCTGGGTTCATCATGGGAGGAATTGGGTTCCATGAGAGATGGACTGGATTGTACTGGGGATGGACTTGATGGCCCTGTGGTAGCACTGGATTATACGGCAGAGGCACCAGATTATACTGTGGTAGTGCCGGGTGATGTAGTTAGGGCACCGGGATATACTGTGGTGGTGTCGGGTGGTACTATGGCTATGGCACCAGATCATACTGTGGTGGTGCTGGATGGTACTATAGAGGAGCAGGGTCGTATTAAGGTGGCTCAGGATCCTCTCGCTGTAGGGGTGGCTCAAACTTGTGGCAGCGGGGGAGGGTCGGTAGCTCCCTCCTTTCTTCTCGGGCCTGCTGGGCAGCGATGAGTCTCTCCAGTATTTCAAATAGCCGGTCAACATTCTCTCGAAGCGAACCCTCTCGGGCTGCTCGGTTTAGTGAAGGTATTCCTCTCCTCATCTATCTGTACCTGCATTTCACAAGGAACAGTTGAGTGATAATTTATGGTTTTTGGTGTTTCCTAAGGATTTTGTGTAAGGAATGGTTCCGATGAACACAATTCTGATACCAACTGTAACAGCCTGTGAACTTGAAAAGAAATAAATTATGAATTGAATGCGGAAGCGAAATAAATAGTTAGAGTTTACACTCCTTACAGAATAATTCAGATTACCCAATAGGGTTAGAGGAATGACCCTTTTAAATGAAATAATGAAAATCAAAGAAATAAATAAAAAATAAACAATGGGCATCCTATTCGCAACCCTCTTGTGGATCAGGCTCTGGATCTTGGTCCTCTTGATCTGAAATGGTTAATGAAAGAGTGAGTTACACTAGCCCAGTAAGAATATAACACTACTCACCGACACAGAAATGAAGGTTAGTAAAAATTCTGAAAATAATTAATGAAGCTCTTAATTTAAGTAAGTTCGCTTATCATAAATAAAATTATTTACTGCATACTTACCGTAGCAAGATTTCCAAAACCAACCTATAGAGTCATAATATAAACATATCATAATCTCATATGCATCAGTCGCACAACACTTTCTGTTTTATCAGCTACTGGTATTCATGGGGGTCCATAGGATGTCCCACTATGCTGACCCTTTTTTTA